ATATCTTAGAATTTGCTGTTACAGTCTTCAACTGACTGGGGAATGTCCACCCACCTTATCAAAGGCAATTTTCCTTATTTGAACAAAATAGCCTCTCACAAATACCCAGCTTTGGTTGTGATTGAATAACTGGGTAGTGCAGCTCAGCAGGCATGTAAAGTCAGCCAGCACGCTGCCCTTCCTGGTTAGTCAACAGATGACAACTTCAGAACACAGTGAGACCATGAAGTTGACAAAAACTTCTTATCTGCTAAAACTATAGGAAAGGAGGTGGATTAGCAGGTGCATATATGTCACCTCATCCTGCCAAAAACATTGTCTTTTCTCCACAAAGCCAGCCAGTTGCATGCATGCAGCCCAGGGACCTCACTCCATAAAGACTCCTTGAGTATAATACCAGTAGATATGTATGCAGTACTTACAAGAACATGATGCAATTTTATAAAAGCTAAGAAGCAAACAACCTGGAAACAAACCAAATGTTAGAAACATGATACTCAATATAGAAATCAAGGTATAGAAAAGCAAAATACCATTTTTACAAAGGCTCAAAACAAGAACTAGAAAAACCACACCTTCATTGGTGATGGAGAGTAGAGGGGTAGGCAGGGATCAGAAGGAGCAGGTCAGTGTCCTTAAGCCTGGAGTCCTCAGCTTTCTGGCTGGCTGTGTGGTTATGATATTATGTCCCATACTTCATTTGACAGATGATCTTTTCATATTAGCAAATCACCCAAATTAACACACTATTTGTTTCCTTCAGGGTTTAAAAGTAGACTGTTAACCTGTGAAAGACTTTCTTAGAAGAATTGAAACAAACAAAAGCAAGTCAGTGACTTAGAAAACAGTGTGTGGTTCTAGTGCATAAAAAGGGTCGACATCAAATATAGTGAAAGCAGGGGTTATACTGTGGGGGAGGGACATACAAAGTAACAAAGAGATAATTTTATAAATGTGTTAGAAACAAATGCATGAAAGAAAAAAACATTAAAATACATATCTAAGGGTTCATTTTCCTAACATCACATTATCTGACCTTTTCCGCTTGACTCATACATATACTAGATATTGCAAATAAGGGAAACCATGGGACCTATGGTTGTTTAAGGATACAAGTGGACCTGTTGCAACAATGAGAAGTACAAGTTGTTATGTCGAAAACGAGCTTTACAACATTGGTGCGGGGGCGGGGGGGGGGTGGGGGGGGGGGAAGGGGAGGAATGGAGAGGACTGGAGGGGGGGGAGGCTGGGAAGGGATGTGAAGGGTAAACAAAGGAGGAGGCTGCAATGCTTGATAAGAAATGTACGCATTATCCTGCCCATGTAATTGTAACCCCTCTGTACAGTGTGTTCACAAAAAAAAATAAAATTAAATAAAAAAAAATAAAAAGGGTCGAGTTTCACGTAGGAAGAAACGTGAAACTAGACCAGCTAGAACAATACTTCTAACTTTGGTGGAATTTGGGGTGCTTTGAGCCAAAAGCAGTTTATCTTCTCTTCAAAAAGCATTTTATATGAGCAAAAGCTTTCATGTAACGTTAGGGAGTGAGAGCTCATCAGATCTAGAAGACTTTTACTAATGTCAATTAGTAATACCAATTTTGATAAATCACTCTTGGCCTCAGAAATTTGTAAATGAAACTGCTGATCAGAGGACAGAAGTGTATCTATCAAAAGTTCTGCTTAAAAATAAGATGGTGAACTGACAGTATGGGTCAGTCGAAGAGTGTCTAGTGTGCATGAGGCCCTGGCTTTCATCTCCAGCATTACAAAGGAAAAAGTCATTTATAATTCATTAGAAATGTCATAAAGCTAGATGCATAGTAGGAAGCTGTAGTTTTAGTTATTTCAGGTCTGTGTGGCAGAGCATAGCAGAATTTTGGCAGATGGTTATTAGAACTCTCTTTCAGGTTTTAAGTTTTTAATTTGGCCAACTTACCAAGGCTCAAATTGAGGGGTGACCCACTTTTGCCTGGGTCAAAACAACCAGGGCATAGAGAAAAGTAATTAGGTTTTTCTTTGCAGGACGCGGTAAGGTTTCTCAGTTGACAAGCTCTGTACCCCGTGTCTGATGCATAGAAAAGCTATGATTAGAAATGTGAACGTTTTCTAAGGAGCTTTGAAGCTTTGCCTCAGCCAATCAAGCAGAGAGCATGCCATTTGTTTACAGTTCTGTGATCATGTGAAGAGCAGTATCGGGTTTTCTTTATCTAGCGTTTGACAGCTGTTCACCAGTGAAAGATCAGATTCTGTGCAAGCAAAAGAAAATACTCGATCCCTTCAAATAAAACCTTCTCTATAAAGTATTAAGTTAGTCAGCTGGCACAGTGTCTATGTTACACAATTGAAGTTGTTTTTCTTAATGAAGAATACAGTATATGTTTTTATAAGTCTAAGAAAACATTGAAGCATACAGCACAAAGATTGTGATAGTAAATTATAGACTAATGTGTACATTGATCATTATACTATGTGTTCCAGCAAACAGTAGTTCAAAAAAATTGATACATATATGTGTATGTACATATATATATGCATATGTTTATGTATGCACACACACATATATCTTTTTCTCTCTATATATAAATATATTTGGTGATAATGGAGTTTGAACTCATTGCCTCATGCTTTGCAATACAGGTACTCTCTTTCTTCTTCAGTTATTTTTCAGAACGGGTCTTCATTTTTTCCCAGGGTGGCCTGGGCCACAAATTTCCTATTTGTATTTCCTGCATAGCTGGAATGATAGATGTGTAGTACAGTGTTCAGCTTTTTATCAGTTGACCTGGAGTCCCTGCAACTTTTTGCCCAAACAGGCCTTGATCTATAATCCTCTAGATTTCTACCTCTAACACTTTTTTTTATTACAGGTGTGGGCTGCTGTGTCCAGCTATTTTTAAACACCTCTCATACAGCTTATAAATAAGTGATGTTTCATTATCTTTTGTTTGAGGCCTGATTATCTTTTCTTCACCCAGCTTTCTGTTTTGCCTGCTTCATCACCCCCGTTTTCCTCTTCTACTGGATTAAAAGGGAAAATATTTCTCAGCTGTCCTCCTGTTTTCCATGTCTAGGTTGCTCTTATGGTTACTTATTATGAAGAGTTACTGTTGTAACTGGGTAACTATAACAACAGTTACCGAGTTTTGGCAACCGTTAATGACGGTGTACCACTGCACAGGAACAAGTAAGGCTGTATGGCCCAGGGACAGTAAGCTCCTAGAGCCCCAGTGATTGGCCTAGTCCTCACTCAGCAAGTTTCTGGCCAGACTTAATGAAAAAAATAGAGTTCAATGCTTACTTCCAACTGACAGCTAACTAAGTATTATAGCCATAACAGTAATAAGAATTAGCATTATGGAATTAAGTCTTTTACATATACTTACCATACTATATACTTTATATATTAGCAACTGTGTATAATTAGCTTATTCTCTTTTTCTTTTATTCTTTGACAGTACCAGAGTTTTGTTGTTATTGTTCTTGGTGGTAGTGGTGGTGAGGCTTGAACTCAGAGCCTGGCCACTCTACTTGAGCTTTTGTGCTCAAGATTAGTGTTCTACCCAGTTGTTTTTTGTTTTGTTTTGTTTTTTTCCCCTTGTCAGTTTTGGGGCTTGAACTCAGGGCTTGGGTGCTGTCCCTGACCCTCTTTGTGCTCAAGGGTAGTGCTCTAACACTTGATCCACAGCACCACTTCTGGCGTTTGAGTGGTTAATTTATGGAGATAAAGAGTCTCATGGGGACTTTTCTGCCCAGGCTGGCTTCAAACCACTATCTTAGATCCCAACCTCCTGAGTCGCTAGGATTATAGGTGTGAGCCACCGGCGCCCAGCCACTTCCAATTTTTTGGTTGTTAATTAGAGATAAAGAGTCTCACAGACGTTCCTGCTTGGGCTGCCCCAAACTGTGATCCTCAGGCCTCAGCCTCCTGAGTAGCTAGGATTACAAATGTGAGCCACCAGTACTACTCCACTTAACGGTACCAGAATTTTGAACTTGAGCCATGCTTCCAGCCTTGTTTGCTTTCAGTCTTTTTTTTTTTTTTTTGACAACGTCTTTTGTTTTTGCCTAAGACTGGCCCCAGACCACAAGACTCCTAATCTCTGCCTCTTCAGTAGCTACAGTTACAAGTGTGTACCACCATATCTAACTCATTCATTACTTACATAGAGTAGGTTCGCTGTAACTATCCAGCATTGGGTTAGAATGTCCGCTTAAGGGACTCTCTGATTCCTTTGTATTTGTTCTAGATTGTGAAAAAAATAATTAGGGCCACAATTTATATTTACCTTGATATATATTTGAATGTCTTCCATATGCAAAGTGATACAGGTAGTATTTGAATACATAAAATAAAGTCCCTCTACTCAAGTACTGTAAGGATCCACAGGAAAATAGATTTAACTGTATAGTATGCTTTGGTGGCTATTAGTTGTTTTTATAACTAGAACTTTCTAAGTTAAAATCTCTAATTTATATAACATATATTTATTCTCCATGTTTGTGCTGCAAGTATTTATAGGTGACTTACTGTTAAAACCTCTATAGCTAGTATGCAGAAATTGAAATAAATTTCCGTAAGAGGTATAAAGTTACATCTCTTGTTCACATAAGGAGAATGAGGTCACATTCTATGGGAAAATTTCAGAAAAGCATCATGAAGCACTACCTATGAGCTGTGTTTGAGGCAGTGTGGGGACTTTGGTGATGTCTTCTGGCAGGCCAGATGAAGGCTGAGTAGGTACAGGTATCTCCTGGTGCACTCAGGAGATAGAGGCTGTGGTTCTATGCAGGGACTGAATTGGAAGGCACATTTTGAAAGGAAGGCTTTTGCCTTCAATGGTAGCCTTCAATGTCTTTAGATAAGTACTGAGGGATGTGTGGAAGAGTTCCTTTTCACATGTATGTGGTGGTGACGATGGTCATTATGTTAGACTGATAGAGCTGTTTCACCTACTGAGTTCATGTGTTTATTGAATTCATGGTTTTATTTCTTTCAGGAAGTTCATGATTTATTAAAAGACTATGAGTTGAAGTATTGCTATGTTGACAGAAATAAACGAACGGGTAAGTTTCCAGTTTCATGCATCTAATTTCATTTTGGTTCTGTATAAGAGTCATAGAACAACAAGACAAACCCTTTGTCTTTTCATTATTAAGCCAATCTATAAAATTCATAGACATTAAATTACCTTAGTATTGTTCACATACTTTATTTTCTGAAGGTAATGTCAGTATCTTAAATTTTAACCATATACATTAAAATAACTATTAGTAGAGATGCACAATTTACTATGTAGCTAGGTGAGAACTTACAGTCCCCTGGCTTTTGCCTCTGTCCCACCTGAGACTTACACATTTTAATGATGAATATTCTAACATTGTGTTATATTGAATGTTCTTTCTAGGCTCTGTCTGCTTCAGTTTTAATAAGATATCACTGGACTTTGTGAATAGCCTATATGATATGACTGTTAGTTGGACAAATGGGGAAATTTGCTTTGTTTTACTTAGTATTCATTAAAAAATGTATTTTATTTGCCAAGAATGGAAAGTTTTTATTGAAACAGGACAGATTGATATTCCTTTATATAGTACCATAACTCACATAATAAACCATTTTTGACTTAAGAAATTAGTTAAAATTTTAAATTAAATTGTGCAAATGAATTCTATGTCAGGTTATAAGAGCAGTGTATTTTTTATTTTTGTGAGATTAAAACTACATTTGTGTGTACATGATATGTAAATGTTTACAAGCATCTTTTTAAGATAATAAGGAAACTGAAGGGTGATAAAACCAGTGTATACAGTCTACTACTGTTTTTTTTTTTTTTTGGTCATGGGGCCTGAATTCTGGGCCTGGGCACTGTCCCTCAGCTCTTCAGCTCAAGGCTAGGGCTTTACCACTTGAGCCACAGTGCCACTTCCGTCTTTTTCTGTTTATGTGGTGCTGAGGAATCGAACCCAGGGCCTTATGCATGCAAGGCAAGCACTCTACCACTGAGCCATCTTCCCAGCCCAAGTCTACTACTCCTGATTCCATTCTTACTCTCCTTCCTTCCCTCATGAATTTGGTGCCCACTTTCCAATCTGTATTATTTCAAGGTAATTGGTAGAGCTGTCCACAAATTCTTGTTCTTTTCCTTCTAGGCATGAGGTAAAATAATATTTACCTTATGCCCAGGAGTGGACATGTGATTTGCTTTGTGGTAAACAAAATTAGAGTGGAGAAGACATCTGTGCTTCTTAGAGAAACATCTCAGAGCTGGCCGGTGAGTGACTCATTTGTTACTCATTACTCACCTGTCTCTGGCTACAGTCACTGGGGAAGTACTGGAGTTTGAACTCAGTGACTTAAGCTTGCTATGCAGATGCTTAACTGCAGAGCCATACGCACAGCCCATCTTTGTGCTGGTTACTTTTGAGATAGGATCTTGCGTCCTGCCCATGCTTAAGCTTAGAGGAAAATACACCCATTTCATGCTTTCTGTGGTAGCTGGGATGGTAATCACATACTACCCAACTTGGCTTCTTTTGTTGAGATGAAGTCTTCTTCAACTTTTCTGTCCAGGCTGGCCTTGCACTGATATCCTCCCAATCTCATTGGGTTATACTGTAATCTTAGCTGCTCTAGAGGCCAAACTTCTTCCAGTCCAGGTCTTAGGCTGAAAGGAGCAAAAATCATCTTTCTTGCCTTGTCTTCAAACTATACATTTACTATGAAGAACAAGAAAACCTTGATTGTAATAGTATTGAAATTATGGGGCTGCTTTTGGTTTTATTTTCTTTTTGTTGTTACTGTTACTGTTTTTGCCATCGTATCTTGAGTAATACCTACCTGTTACTAAATCTGTACACAATTAATGGAATTTTTCCTGTGGGTTTTTTTTTTAACTTTATGTGAATGGTATTTGGTGTTTTATTTAGCAAGTTTCTTTTTTTTCTATTTAACTACCATTTAACTTTCATATCTTTCTATGTTGATACATACAACTCTTCAGCATTGTTTTAAACTACTACGTCAATCAATTGTGTGAATTTATCCCTTGAGGTAGGCATTTGGGTTTGTAACATTTCTAGTATTTCAGTGTTGTGAAACCTGTTTCTAATACATTATTTCTCCACAATTGAAGAATTTCAGTATTACAGGTAGTGATAAGAGGAGTATGAGTACAGACTTTAAGTCTCATAGAACCAGGAGTTCTGTTCCAGTTTTTCCCACCAGCTATGATAATACATTTCAACACCTGAAGCATCAAGAGGAATATTCAAAAGGTTTTGCCTTTGACAGTGAGTCAAATTACCTCCTGTTTTACCTACAAACTTAAAAGCAAAAAATAGACAAGATCAAACTGTTTCCTGGTAATCTAACCACATCTGAGAACAAAACCCAAAAATACTTATACAAATACAAAAATACAAATAATACAAACAAGGTTAAATTTACATATGGCATCCAGCAAAAACAAGTCATCAGACAAGTGCCAGGCATGGTAGTGCAAGCTTGTAACCCAAGTTTCTCAAGAGGCAGAAATCTAGAAGACTGGCATTTAACTTTTTAACTGGAAATTGAACTGGAATTTAAATTTCCAGACAAAAAAGTCAGTGAGATTCCATCTGAATAAACAAAACAGCAGTGACGTATGTCTGTAATCTCAGCTATAAGGGAGCATAATTAAAAGCATTATGATCCAAGCCCCACCCAGGATAAAACAAGAAATCTGTTTAAAAATTAACTAAAACATAAAAAGGTGGGTGGGGGAGGAGCTGGAGATGTGGCTCAAGTGGTAAAGCACCTGCCTAGCAAGCATGAGATTCTTAAGTTTGAAACCTAGTAGTTTCTCTGACTACTCCTCCCTGCCACCAAAAATCAGCCTTGGTAGGAAAGCAAGGAAAGACAACTCATAATGGAAAGAAATCCAATCAAATTGATCTAGAATTGATCCAGATAAATAAATGAAAATGGACATTAAACTAGTTTTAATAGCTATACTCCATACATACAAGAAGTTATAATGAAGGCTGAACATGTAAAATAGAAATAGAGATGTAAAGAACTATCAAAATCATACTTCTGGTGGTGAAGACTACCAGACTCTCTGAGGTGAAAAATACATTGGATAAGATTAATGCCAAAATAGACACTGCAGAATAATGTTAGTGAAATTAGAGATAATGAGATATCCAAAGTAAAACAGGGAAGACAGAGACTGTAAGACATAAATTTTGCTACATGGGAGAGCTTCAGGTGAAGGTGGAGAGGTGATACTGACTTTAAAGAATCAGTGATTGAAAAATTTCCAAATCTCATGAACTCCAAACCCAGAGACCAACAAAGTTCTACCAGCCCCAGCCATAAGAGCATGAAAAGAACTACAAGACACATTGTTAATTTATAACTAGAGATACAGAGAAAATCTTACAAACAGAAAATTAGTAGGAAGCACACCATGTGTATTGACAAAGATGATCATGGATTTCTTTGAAGCAATACAGATGAGAAGGCCACAGGCAACATCTTTTCTTACTAGAAGAAAAATAGTCTGAATTTTTTTTACACATTGGGAATACTTTTCAGAAATAAGGATGAAATAGACATGCTTTTAGTCATATAAATATTGAAAGAATATGTCATTATAAAGTGTGAATTATAAGATATATTTAGGTGGTTATGATGGGCCATGACTATAATCCCTCTCTGTTTGGGAGGCAGAGATCAGAGGATCACCATTCAAGGCCAATGTAGACCAAAAGTAAGACTCCATGCCAAGCAACAAGCCAGGGGTGGTGACGTATACCCATCATCTCAGCTACGTAGGAAGCACAAAAGGGATTGCAGTCCCCTTTGTGGACTCGTAGGGACGAAATTGTAGAGCACCTGCTTAGCAAGCACAAGGCCTTGAGACAATTAAGATAAAGATACATAATGTCAGCCAATAAGATAACACAACAGAAGAATTCATTAATGATGTTAATTAATATGTTCAGTGCATTTGATTTTAGTAGCTGAAGAAAGATAATTAATAACTAGTTTGTTCATTATGATAATGTCTGTAAAACATAATTAGCAGTTTTGTAAAAAATGATTAAGATAGTCAACTGTAGTCCTGTAATCCGAACTTTTCTATAGTAGATAGGGGGAAATAATTGACTGAAATAGGATACATTGGGGATAAATATTTACATTAAATTTTTCCCAGTAATAATTTATGACTATACTAATCAGTGATTTATACTAGTTGTGGATTACTTAAATTTCCCTAAGAAATAGTAATAGCCTTTATCCTAAATTCCCTTACAAACTTTTGTCTGTGAAATGACCTCAGCCACATCTCTGAGAGCCAACATGAGAAAAAAAAATGACAGCTTTAGAGAAAGTATGGTCTTGCAAATAAATGGAAGAAGTTATAGAAAGGAGAATGGCCTCTCTCTGCCTAAACTCCTGCCTAGAGATGGAAGTTTGTTTCATTTTGCAATTTAATTTCAGTCTTTATTTGGGTTGAGCAAATACAAATACACAGGACAGGAAAAAGAAGAGATTGTTAGCTTTTAACTCTTTTAGTTGATATGTAGACACACCTCTATTCATTCATCTAGTGCTTGCCATGTGCTTGCACTGGGGTAGTTGATGCTAATTCATGAGCTACATAGAGAGGTCACGCTGTAGTGTGGCTGCAGGTGGCTAAACAAATAAATTACAGTATAGGCCTATCCCTGTGACAGCTCAGCCATGTTCAAAGTTCATAGGTGTATGAAAACAAGGTATGATGAGCTCTAACTGAATAAATGACCAAGGAAGGCCACTGGGGACCATGAGGCAATCATCTCTGGGTGGATTTGAGAGTCAGGCAAATAGCTGAAATACTGAGGCAGAGGAATACATGTGGAGTGTATGTGGTTACTTAAAACAACGTGTTTCCAGGGAGTTGCAAATGCTTCAGTACTGTTGGGGAATTGTGAGTGGCAGTGAGGAGGGGCGGGCTAGAGCCCTCTAAGGCTGTCCTGTAGGGCACTCTGCCTGAGCTGGGGTGCCGCTGCACTGGGAATACCAGACATTTGCATCC